ATTAACATCCAATGAAGAACTTCATATGGACCATGGTTTTCTGACTGATGTCAGTGAAGATTTATGAATTTCTTGTGTGTCTCTCTCAGCACTGTGTTTTAATTGACCCTTTGGCAGCAATTATTTTTCTTTCTCATCATCCTGTGGCTTCTCCTTGCTCAGGAACACTAACAGCCGTTATCCCCAGTTTCTTTTTTCCCTGGGACTCTCTCACGCAAATTTTAAGCAGAAGTTGAAACGCTGCATATAGCAAATAAATTACATACCTGGCTCTGGGGGTAGAGCTACTGGAGAGATGTGTGTCCCTGTAGCCAGAGGTGCTACTTTCCCTATCAATTCTTCTGCATAACACCAAGTGCTGTGACTCATATCAATCCATCAGAGCGGGCAGCAGTGCCTTCCCGTGGCTTCTTGGAAACGACTCCTTAACTTCATCACACGTGAGGGTGGAGAGCTGTTGTGCAGCCCCTCTTCTTTCCCTGCTGTTCAGTGCACCTCAGCCTCTCCTCGTAGGTCTAAATCCAGCTCCTGCCACCACTGCCATCCTCTCATTACAGTGCTTGTTCTCCAATTTCTCCCTCTAGTCAGAAAAAAAAAGGTTCTTGCTGTTCTTTGGATGGACAGGTGTGCATTTTAACGTGTAACTACCCATATTGTAAAAACAGATCCTGAAATTCTTGTTTCTGAAGATGGTTTGGTGTTGACATTTTCCACCTCATGAGATTTTTCTGGCTCCTGCATCTCTGATTCCTATTCAGCCATGCTCACAGCATAGCAAACACCCACTAGATGCAGCCTTCTGCATCGTCTCTGCACAGACACTCTTAGGTCTGGCTTCAGCTACCTCCGGTTGGAAATATGGATTTACTAGGCATTTCTGACAAGTTTTGCCTTGGTCTTTGCCGCTCAACATGGTGGCCAAGGTGATTTATTCATCTTTACATTTGTGTGGCTCACTCAGGGACACAGATGTGCCCTTATAACAGAGTCGGGGAAAGCTGCAACGTTATGCATCTTCTTCGGTTTAAATTGAAAGCAGGGAGGTTTAGATTGGATATCAGGAAGAAGTTCTTCCCTGAGAGGGTGGTGAGGCACTGGAACAGGTTGCCCAGAGAAACTGTGGATGCCCCATCCCTGTAAGTGTCCAAGGCCAGGCTGGATGAGGCTTTGAGCAACCTGGTCTAGTGGAAGGTGTCCCTGCCCATGGCAGGGGGGTTGGAACTGGGTGGTCTTTAAGGTCCCTTCCAACCCAAACCATTCTGTGATTCTATGATTCTTCCAAGTTAACTAATAAAAACCACACACGACACTCATGAGCACACGAGGGAAACTCCCTTTTCCCCTAGTCTGTGCAGTGCCTTTACCCTGGATGGTGTACGTTTTCACACTTAGTGTCCAAGCTATGTCTTTGCTGACTCCTGGCTGCAGAGCAGCAGGACCACAGATGGGGATTATGCTGCTCCTCAGTCTGTCCCTGGTGTGATTATTTTATAGAGCCCTAAAGCTCACTTCGGATATGATGGTGGGTTATGGCTGTGCATTAAGAGAGAGGGAAAAAAAAATACAGCTATTTACCACACAGTAAGTATCTTCAGGGGATGAGAAAATGTCCTGTGTGCTCGCATAATAAGGCATTGTCTAATAAGATGCATGCAGAATCAAGGTCACATGGACTACCTCATTAAAGTAGTTTCTAATTTCTGAGGGTTGGCTTTACTGCCTTAACTTGTTTCTTTTTGAAATAAGAGTTATATTGATGAACGTTTGGAGTAATTTAGCACAGGTGAGGTCTGGTAGCAAGGATGTAGGCAGTATTTCAGCAAGGACACTCCCAAATGAGGTTGGATGTTCACCTGCTTTATGAATCAGTGTTTTCACATTTTATATCCCTCACGAAACACAAACGGACTATAGCGCAGTATAAAATTTACCCTTGTATTACCTGGACTTCAGGGAAGGTGGATTTTTTTTTTTCTCTGCAAATGGACTGTAGTGAGATAGTTAGGAACACTGAGTTTATAGACAACTCTTGTTTTCAGATGTTTGAAGTTAAATCTAGAATTATTTGAGTGCTGCTTCTTCCTAAATACACCACCGTGGCAGTTTGTTAACATTGCGATACCCAAGTATACCAAAAGAAATCAGTGGTTACATAATTTACTTACTTTTCATAGAATATGAGTTCATGTTTTTTAAAATGGAATATTTACCTCCATGAAATTTAGTAAAGCACATTTTATCCCTTTCACCTCTGAAAAGTTGTAAAATACATCATTACCAGAAGCGAACTAGATTTCAATATACAAACAATGTAAAACCTACGATGTTTGCCTCAGTGCTTTCACCAGCTTAATGAGATTGAAATTTCCTTTCATTTGATAGCTATCTCTGACATTACAAACAGCTTTTGTTTAACCTTTATTGAGCAACGTGTCATTTAATCAACAGCTAAACATTTTTGTTTCATCCCTGATGAGTATTATAAAAAAGAGGATGTATATTTAATGTTTAAATCACTGTTAAAAACCAAGTCTTTAAGTCTGCAGCTCGCATATGTCTGCAGCAAACCTTGCCACTGTGTGAGGGAGAACTTTTTCATCTCGGTGCATGCCACGCCGAATGAAGTGGCAGTAATGACATCAGCAGTTCCTCACTGGTACGGGTACTCTCACTACATTTGAGGTCTAAGAATATGGTAGTATAGAAAAACATTTCCGTCTGAAGCCTACCTGTCTTCCCTCCATGAGGAATTATGTGAAAACAATTATAATTTTTTCAATTTCACACTAGAAGGTCTTAGATTAAAGGAAGAGTAATAGCTCTACAGATATTCAAACCAAATACTATGTGTTCTGAAGTACTGAAACAGGATGAGAATCTAATATCTCAGCTGTAAGCTTTTCAGACTGGAAGATTACTCATTGTTTATATACATCTATACAGCATTTATTTTCAGATCATTGGTTTATTTGTTAGGTTCATAAAACTGTGACAGCTTAAAAAGCATTGATTTTTTTTTTTTTTAATGTCCCAAAGAGCAGCTTTGCAGAGTCATTATCACTTATTTCTCCATTATAGCTTCTTTCAGAAAGGTTGAGGAGAAACAGAGAAATGGAAAATACAGCAGAGTTGGGTTTATGAGCTGGCTGTTAGAATTGAAGCCTGGAAAGAGAAGAACCTAAGAAAGAGAAAAGAAGTAGCATACGAAATTGAGAACTGCCATTTTATTTCTCTTGGAGATATACCAATATTCCAACAGCTAAATATAGGTAGTTGTACTTATTTGTCCAGTTCTGACATGGCACAACTGGCATTTTTAACTCGTCAGAGCTGCCCTACTCTACATGGCTAGCCTTCAAGCTAGAAATGTTCTAGTTGTATCTGTTTGCATACGAATATTGCATAGGGATTCTGCACTGTGTGTGTACCTGTACACCAGATACTTCATGTCTCTGATAACAAAAGGGGTGGCTGGAGACCCACCTTCTCCATTTTTGCCTATCCCAGGACCTGAAGTTTGTTTCCCAGTGGTTCCAAGGTAGTGAGGGAGCTGGGGAGCTGTAAGCACATGGTCGGACAGCACACCTTTTTCTTGTGATAGATGGCTCCGTGAAGGGCATCCTTTCTCTTTTTTGTGGCTGTGCAAGGAAGGTCACGAAGTCCCTTTATCTGAATCCTCTGTCCAAGATGTGTCATGCTTAGAGACTTCCTTCATGGTATCTTAATGAAGGTACCTCTGTAAGTCTCTTGAGACCTCAGGAAACCCCCGGAGGTCGGTAGAGCACTCGTGGCATGTCCACCACAGAAGATGGGTCAGTGCTGAGGCTCTTGCAGGACATTTGATGCACTGTGCAGTAGAGACAGTGCTGTGGCCAAATCCTGCTATCCCGGAGGGTGAGCGTGATGTCTACTCAGACTGCTAGAGCTGTGTGAGTGGAGGTTTGCATTTAGGGTTTTCAAGAACGTCTCGAGCATGGAAGAGTTGGAGCCCAAATCAGAATATCGATCAGCCTGTTTTGTACTGAAAGTGAAAAGTTGAGACTACCTTTGAGTGCTTTCTAAGGGAAATGCTTCTATTGCTTCATAAGAAACAGCCGGATCTTCCCTCCCTTCTGCTAACAGAGATGGTAACTGCCAAAAAAAAATATCTTCTTCGACAGGTATGATAAGCAACAAGTGGTTGTAGATTGAAAGGACTGTAAAGGCTGTCTATTTCCTTACACAACAAGATCTTTGACCGGGAGGAATTTCTAATCAAGTCCTTAAGTGATCTTACTGTGACCTGATGAAAACAAAAAGTGACATGTCTCCATTAGGAGCAAAGATGGTTAAGCAATGCGCCTTAGCAGCACTAACTGCCAGTCCATCAAGAGACAATCTAAAATCACTGCAGGTTGAGTTTCAAAGGGTGACAAGGACTTACCCTGACTGCAAATGAGGAGTATTTGCATCAGGTAACAGTACAGATCCATCTTCTGGACTTAATTACTACCCTTGCTGAGGAAGGGCTTCACCAGAGGGAAGTGACATTGTGGTAGCGCAGAGACCTAGCCTGCATCCAAAAGTGGAGCTAAAAAGATCCAGATGGAGCAGCCCTATAAACTCTGTAGGTTCAAGTTTCAGACGCTTAGGAGGTGTCTTGGGTTTAAAGCAGAGAGAATGCTCTGGAACTAAAAATTGCTGTTGTAAACACAATTATCTTCTCCTTTTATCATCTTAACCCCATGAGGGTTTCTGGACAGTGTGACAGGAGGGAAACTGTGTGCCCATCTGACATGAGATTGGAGCCCACGATGTATTTTTGGGTGCTTGCAGCTCCACGCATAGATACAGCTATCTTTGTGTCTGTGAAAGGCCAGGGACTCTGTGTGTGGAGGTTGTCCCACTGACCCTCCCATGTAGAAAGCAAGCCATGGGGATGTAAGGGGACAGGTCTCAACAGTGAGAGGGATTTTTGCATACACTGCAAAAATCCTGTTTTCTATGAAAGCAAGAACAAAACAGTTGGGAGAGGTGAAATAAGTTGGGGTATCCATAGAGAACAAACTCTATGAACCCAAATCTGCGTTGATTGTATGTCTAATCATATGAAGAGGGGTCCTTACGTGCACACTTGTGCACGTTCCAGCACAGCTAAGCCAGTTTATACAGGCAAAATGGGACAAAACTTTGGAAATGCCAGAAACCATGTGAAAGGACAGAGGGAATTAGTTCCTTGCAATGACTGAGACTGACACAGTTTCAACAAATCCCAGTACCTCTGTCAGAGTTGGGTAAGACTTTTGCATCCTCCACAATGACCCTGGAGCACAGGCAGCTGAAGCGTACACCACCGTTACTGGTGTAGTCACCTTTCAGCAGCCAGCCAACAAGGCATGGAGAGAGAACTGCCCTGTTACATCTGAGGGTCTGGAGCACACGTCCTGTGAGGAGCGGCTGAGGGAGCTGGGGGTGTTTAGCCTAAAGCGGAGGAGGCTCAGGGGAGACCTTATCGCTCTCTACAGCTCCCTGAAAGGAGGTTGTAGGGAGGCGGGTGCTGGTCTGTTCTCCCGGGTAACTGGTGATAGGACAAGAGGAAATGCCCTCAAGGTGTGTAAGGGGAGGCTTAGATTAGATATTAGGAAAAACTTCTTCACTGAAAGAGTGGTCAGGGATTGGAACAGGCTGCCCAGGGAAGTGGTGGAGTCACCATCCCTGGGGGTGTTCAAGGAGTGTGTAGACGTGGTGCTTGAGGACATGGTGCAGTGGGTATGATAGTGATGGGTTGGTGGTTGGACTGGATGAGCTTATAGGACTTTTCCAACCTTTGTGATTCTGTGATTCTGTGACACGAGCTGCTCCTGCTGCCAGTGATTTTGTAGAAGTCCCTGGAGTGGAGGAAAGGCAGAAGGGAAGAACCTTGTTTTGGAAGTGATCCTACTACCTATAAAATTGAAATATGACCTATGTGTTTCACGTTTGTGATGTGAAAATACATATTCAGAAAGACACGAGTCAGGAAGTGATTGCTTTAGCACTGATACCATTTGTAATGATAGCTCAGCTAAAACCACAGTGCTAAGTTTGGATTTGCAACTAGAGGAGTTTAGTCTCCTCAGATCTAAGATGGACCACCATCCTTCATTTCTTTCTGGCATTGCAAAATAGCCACTTTCTTCCAAGGTGAGAGAGCACCAGCTTGAGGCTCCTAGATGTAACAGGTAGCTGCTCTCCACTACTGTAAGGCTTTTGTTCTTGCAAGGACTACGTGGTCTCTGGAGAAGGGAATGTAGTTGTGAGAAGTGGGGAAGAAAACAAATGATGATGTCCATACCATCCATTTCCAAAAGTGACGGACTAACACAAAAGAAAAAGAGGAAGAGTCAGCAGAGTCAGAAGTTTAGCAAACTTCTGTACAAATAACAATTCATAATAAGTTCAGGTTTTCACTAATTAAAAATACATTCAAAAAGTCATTTATTCTTCTCTCCCCTTTGAAACCACTTCAGTTTGTCAGTCTCTGGTTTTACAGTGATAGTTCTTAATGCATATGAGCTGAGCTACACCGATTTTGAAAAGTGTTAAATCTTTAGTAAGATGTTTTTGTGCTGCTAAACAACATACTTTACTGAAATCTGAGAATATCACATATACACAACTACCTTTGTCAACTGGCTTCAACAAAAAATACATTTGCTGGTTCAACAGTCATTAGATGTGTGGCATGTGTATTTTCAAATTGTCAGCATTTGGAATAGCCTTTTATGTATTAAAAACTACTGATTTTGATTAGTAAATCTTAAAAATGTCAATGAAAGACAGGTGAGTAACTAGCATTACTTGAATTCCATGGGAGTGGAAAGCAAAAAGCACAGCTGGCCAATTTCTTTATAATAGGGGTCACTTGATACAACAACATGGTTTTCAGCAGACTTTATTAAAGAAAAAGGAGACTTTGCAGTACTTGTCATTTCTAAAACCCTGGTGTAGACAACATCAAGAAGATACCCCATGGAGCAGAGAAGCATGCAGTTCAGCTCTTCCAAAAAACATCCTGCTGCCTTGATTTCAAAACAATAGTTTCCATTCTTCAGATTTCCTCTTTCACTGTTACCTGATTTTCATCGCATACATGAGGAAGAAGTCAGCAAATACCCAGATCTGAACTGTTCACATACTGATTTGCATTTTTTTAAATGCACTTATATTATTTACTGCCTATTATTAGGAAGTTAAAGAAGTTTTATAATGATAGATAACCATAAAGTCAGTATGTAGCAATTTTCAAGCATTTGACTCTGCACTTTGGTATTCCACTGTGGTGTTACATGTTTTCTCCGTCTCTGAGGTACACTTTATTCAGCAAAAATTTAATTTATAAAATTTGTCCTATACTGACCAGCCTTGTCATAATTAACAAAACTTGAACCCTGAACTTCAGAAGTCTTCTACTCAAACATAATAGCTGTTGAACACAATTGCAAGGAAGTTATTTGTTATTTTATGTAGACAGACCCAGGCTCCTGCCTAATCTTTCGAGGCATCTTGCTTAGTTCTTTGAACTACTTTGTGTAATTTGCATGATTCACAGTTATAAACCCATAACCTTTTGCAGGAAAAAAAGGAAGTAATTCCAGGAAAGTAACTACCTTTCCTCCACTTGCAATCCAAAGTTGTCTTCTTCAAAGTTTAACCTTGGGCGTGTATAATTTGTGTTTATGTTTGTCACTTGGGAAAAATAAGAATTCCTACCTGAAACCACAATACGTAAGGAAGTCCCCTGCTTGGGCAATCAGGCAAAAGCAGTGCTCAGAAACTGGAGAAATGTTTCCACAAGTATGCCTACAGCTGACTAGCTGTTTCACAAGCTCTCAGAACTGAAGTTTGTGGTTTATTGTAGTACTTCATTGATGGGAAACATCTTTTTTTGTTGTTGTTTTCTTATCTATTTCAGGAGCCTTCATGATCCCTTTCCTGATTTTGCTAGTCCTGGAGGGTATCCCCCTGCTTCATCTTGAGTTTGCCATTGGCCAAAGGCTGAGGAAAGGCAGTGTGGGCGTCTGGAGCTCTATTCACCCCACCCTGAAAGGGGTTGGTAAGTCTGAAGATGATACAAAAAGCCACATGGGAAAGCCCAAGTCTCTGAACTGATAACCTGAAGAGCAAAACATGCTTTTATTCTAGCGAGCCATAAGAAATTCTGGGATCTGTTCCTTTTTCCTTTTCACTAACTCTTCACTGATACGTCACACTAAGCATTCTAAGGCACTATGGCGATTTTGTGTCCACGTTCCCAGGAATTATGGCTCCAGTAACCTTCCTCTAATCTGAGACCAATTTCAAGCTTCAGAGATATTTTCTGTATTCATAGATATTGGCTGTTTTTGCCATTAGGATGGTTGTTTAACTGGGCCAAAACTTTGTTCTGTAACTGTTCTGTGGAAAATTAATGGTTGAATCTTTTGCTCAGCTGCTCTACTGGCCTTCACCTCCATGTAATGTTACTATCTTATATCTGAGAGAGGTACCGCTCTGAAAGCCATGGAGACAGTGTTTTGCAAAAATGCTTCTTCACATCTGTATTAGACTTCTGAGTGTTCAAACCCTCTGCCTGACAATGTAGTAAAAGCAGCATGGTGCAAACACAGCATTAAAAACTCCGCCGACACTGCATTACTCGGGAAACAGAGGATGTGCCATCTGAACGTCAGGAAACACTGGGAAGGTGACTGCCCACTGGCACAGATTGCACACGGAGGTTGTGGAGTCTCCATCCTTAGAGACAGCAAAAAGGTGCCTGGGCATGGTCCTGGGCAGGGGTTTGGACCAGATCATCTCCAGAGGTCACTTCCCTCCTCGGCTGCTCGGCGATTCTGTGATTCCCACACACTTGAAAGGGAAGAAACACAGCCAGTTAGGAGTGTTGTTGACATCTGCTGCACCTGTAAATCAGTTACAAAAGATTTTTGTTCATTGCATCTGGAATTTTTCAAACTTCTTTGGAATCTAAGAGCACTCAGGAGTTAATCATTAACCTTTACTATCTGCCAGAGAAGTCACCAGAGGTCGATCACTTGGGAGCAAGTGGAGGAGAGATACCAGCTTGAATCCTGCACCATTTCACAGACCGTGCCTCCTGACACCTATCCATCCCATACAAGAAAGATTAGCCAAACACCTCCCCTGACCTCTGCAGTGACAATTTGGGTCTCATTTAGGCAAAACCCCAAGTCAGTTGAGCTTTACATGTAACCAGCCTCCCAAACTCCCTAGATAGCAATGGACAAGACTCTGCACAGGGTAGTGTAGTGGCTGTAGGGTGTTAGTGTACCCATGATGTTGGCTCCTAAGTGGGTGTCAGATTCAGTCCCACAGCAGGTTTGGGCTGTACGGCTATGTAGGACTCACCTGTCCAACCTTCAGGTAGTGAATCCACCTACATCCAAATAAAGAGAGGAAAGAGGAAAGGCTACAGACCATAGAATTAGGGTGGGGAGGAGAGTGGGGGAAGATTGAGGCTCATACCATATAATCGATATGTCTTGAAGACTGAGAGTATTGAAATTTACACTGTGTTCTGATTTTATTTTTTTCAGGCATAGCGGCAATGTTTGTATCCTTCCTGGTGGGTCTGTATTATAACACTATTATTGCCTGGGTAATGTGGTATTTCTTCAACTCCTTCCAAGAGCCCCTGCCTTGGAGTAGCTGTCCTCTCAATGACAACAGAACAGGTATATTTTATGAAAGAATGTATTTTGTTGCGCAGCACATTTTTCCATTTGTAGCGATTAGCCTAATCCAGCCTGTTTCTGTAAAACAACAGTAAGGCATGGCAGTCCTGTCAGGAAGATTGTGCTGTTTTAATACTTGCGTTTTGTAAAAATTCACATTATATAAAATGTGATCAATGCTTAATCTTTAAGACAAACTTAGACTTTTTACATGAAACTTCGGGGTTGATTTTGACAGGTATGTGTACATACAGAATATTCACAAAGTGCAGGCCTAGCATAAACATTAACATTTTCCAGATTTGGACAATGTGTTCCATCCATCTCTTCATCAAGAGCCCTCCGTGAGAGATGCATAATCCCTGTGGAACACCTGTATCTCAAAATGACAACAGTCTACAGCTCCTTGGAGGCTGCTGGGTGACAGCAGCTTTGCTTTCTGCAGTCAGCCCTGCATGAAACTGTATGAAGCGGGTTTTTCTGGTGGGTCAGTGACCCGCCCGTCAGACAGCTTTGCTCCTCTCCTCCCAGAATAAGTATAAAAAGCCTCATTTAAGGGCAGGCCCGGGCAGAATACTGCACAGGTCAGCGCATTGCAGGGAGCGGGGAATCCAACCTGAGCCGACAAGACCTTGAACCATGCCCCACCAAAGAGAAAGACAAAGTATTGCTGAGCTGAAGGAGCTGTGGGAGGGGAAGAGCCGCTTGGCTGCAGGAAGCTGTGGGCAGGTGCCCAAGCTCCATCAGACAAGAAAGAGCAGGATGCATGCGGAAAGCGCAAAGTCATTTGGGTTTTTTTCTAAGATGAGGTAGGAAGTGTACAGTCATTGAAAAACATCTGCCTAACTGCTTTTCTTCTGCTAAAAAGAAGATATTCCATGCAATATACATACATTTATACTCAGGAACCCTCTCCACGCTTTATTTGGCACAAGAGGATTCTAGCCTCACAATTTTGTAGGAAAAAAGAAACACTATAAAGACAGAAGAGTCTTTGAGTGACCCTCAAAGATTTTATCCGTATGGCTGAATTAACAGAAATAACAATAAATTCTGTATTAAAATCACTGTTAAAAAAATTCTCTCTTATATCTCTCATTTTTCCATGAAACCAGACTCTAGGAATTTGAAATTTGCCATCAACAAATTCATTGGCATTAGGTAGTATAATTTAGAACACTTGTGTTTGTTATTTAACTGCCTGGTTTTTTCAAGATAAAAAAATGACATACAGAATGAAAACTGTTTTGTGGTTACAGATTACATAGCAGAGTGTTCCAAGAGCTCTCCTGTGGATTATTTCTGGTACAGAGAAACTTTAAATATCTCCACTTCCATTGACGATTCAGGCAGTATACAGTGGTGGCTTTTGTTATGTTTAACGTGCGCATGGGGTGTCCTGTACGTGTGCACAATCAGAGGCATCGAAACAACAGGAAAGGTACTCTCGTTTGTTTTTTTTATGAGATTGTATTCATTCTACTGTTGTGATTCCTTATTCACGCAGACTTAATCATACTGTAGAAACTGATTCTTTCTTGAGTAAAATCATGTGTAAAATTTTGTGTGTCATTGCTGGGGCTGCTTTTTGAAGAAGGAAACTGGATGAAATGGAATTCGTCGAATCACAGAACGGTTTGGGATGGAAGGGACCTTAAAGACCATCTAGTTCCAACCCCCCTGCCATGGGCAGGGACACCTTCCACTAGACCAGGTTGCTCAAAGCCTCATCCAGCCTGGCCTTGAATTTGATTCAATTTGATTTAATTCAATTTGATTTAATTTGATTGGATTGCATTTATGAGTAGGTTTTTGTGAGATATCCACCTTTTTTGTTCTTATAGGTGCTAGTAGTTCTTTAGCAGTTACCACCTTAACGTTAACCTTTATTGCAGGATTGAGGGACTCTGTTTTTTGCTATGGCCATTCTCTTCAAAGCATACATGTACATATTTATTTGGGTTTGTGCTGGTTCTTAGTATTATCTCTCTAAGACTGACCAATGTTCTGCTGCCCAGCGAAGCCCTAAGAGCCCATCCTTGCATCAGCAGCATCAACCTGATCTCAGTGTAGTTTATTTTTTATGCTTCTTTTGAATGATCTGACTTGAATTTCAACAATGACATTTTGTCTTTATAGAGCATGGTAACTGCAAAAACGTTTATTATCAAAATGCACCGCACCTACTCTTGAACAATGCCCTGTAGTATGTTCTGACTCGCTTGAAACTTGCCATTTGCAGTCACAGTACCATGTTTATTCCTCTCTTTTTTCCCTGTGGTGTTGGTTTTAGTCAAGTGTTCAGTTTCATTTGAGTGTTTTATTTACATGCTTCTTGTGCAGGCCGTGTATGTAACATCAACTCTTCCATACCTTGTGCTTACCATTTTTCTCATCCGTGGCTTGACACTGAAAGGATCAACCAATGGAATTGTGTATCTCTTCACCCCTAATGTAAGTCATTGTGTGGTTCATCCCTTAGTGAAACACGATGTAGTTCGCTCTGCCATTAACAACTGATTGAAAATTAGTCCCCTTTTTCCGACTTTTCAAACAGACACCTTTAGAGTCTTGACTGTGGGAGGTGAATCCTTTGCATCAGATATAAAATATACACATACACACACTCACACACGCATTCCCTCTCTTAATCAAAACCCGTTTCAGAAAATGAAGGATCACAGCAGTGCAAAGGAGTTGCCTTAAGGGAGCTTGCTTTCTTTTCCTGTATTCTGGGTAAGGATGAGTCTAACTTGAAAGCACACATGGTCCAGTTGGGAGTAGAACCGACATATAGTATGGCTATACGGACACAGGACCTTAAAGAATGGTTTAACCATACAACAGTTTTTAAACAAAATTAAAAAGGGTTTAGCTTTCCTTGAGAAGACCTCTGAATGGACATTATTAATGCTAAATAATAAACACTTTTTCCGGAAACAGGCACAGTTGCTGTCAGCTATGGAAAGTAATTTGTTTATCGATTTTCAAAATACTTGTGGAAAGCATACGCATAGTTTTTCTTTTGGGGAAAAAAGTAAGTTTGACAAAAGTTTTGACCTGTAAACATTCTTCAAAAATTGTGAGCTCTGCACAGTTAATGTTCTTGCTTTAATTATTGTTTTAAATCCCCCATATTCAGTCTAAATAGCAATGTTGTGTATGCTTAAAGCTGTATGTCTGATGCCTCAGGTTACTGAGCTGGCTAACCCAGTGACGTGGCTGGATGCGGGTGCTCAGGTGTTTTACTCCTTCTCCCTGGCGTTTGGAGGCCTCATTTCATTCTCCAGTTACAACTCTGTTCAGTAAGTAGCCAGGAAAAAGCCAAAGTTTATATGAATATTTTATTCTTCCAAACGAGGCATATCCACTTCTGCCCTGCTGTTACAAGTAATTACTTGGGACCGGGACAGCATCCTTTTAGCTATGTAAGGCACATCTCTGCCTGATCCTAGTTCCCGAGCCAGGATTTCAGGTTCCAGTGCTGGCTGATCTCCTGCAGAAAGATGTGGTGTTGCACAGAAGAAAGAAGGGGACTGGCTGCCCACCGCCAGCTGATGAGCAGGAGCTTCCTTTGCCGGAGTGCTCAGTTCTGCCCTCTCTCTGCACACTGTTGGAGCTGGGTGGTGGTACACACATTTCAAAGCAATTTACAGACCATGGTTTAAATCTTTTGCTTAGAGGTTAGAAGATAAATCCAGGAGTTTTGAAATTCAAATTCAGTTCCTCCCTTTTTACATGCGGCGGGGCCAGGGGAGAGATGGAGTACCAACTCCCATCACCCAGGGAATGACCCGCTCAGCAAATCACAACATGGTGCTATATTCTACACTCACCCTCCCAGGATCAGCCATCAGTGCCTCTTGGTGCCTTCCATCCCTTCAGCACTGTCCTCTTGAAAGACAAACTACGCAGCATTCCCTGAACCTAATACTTTTGATGAATGTCTCTGAATTAAGTTTTACTTACGTATTCAGAAACCTGTGTTTCAGTTTTGGCTCAGGTTCGACCACACCACACCAGCATTTCAGTGGCTGATGTAATTCCCTGACACCACTCTTGATTTCAGATGGTTTTCAAAAGTTCATCTGGAACTTTTGGTGCCTGCAAGTCTCAGTGTGAGATGACAAGCCCCGCTTCAGGTCCAAGTCAATGTTCCTACAACCATGAGGAGCAGGGCTGGTAATGTTCTTGTGCTGGTTTTGGCTGGGATAGAGTTAATTATTTCACAGAAACTACTATGAGCCTGTGCTTTGGATTTGTGTTGAGAAGAATGTGGATAACCCACTGATGTTTTACTGCATCTTTCCAAAAGACCCAAAGAAAAGGAGCAGTGTCCTCCTACTTTTCCAACACACAGGGCTGTGACACCAGGCCACAGTCCTTCACTTGTCAATCATCCATAACTTAAGGAAGAAACTGCAGAAAGTAATGAAATTCCCATGGAGATATAAGAAAAAAAAGTTAAAATACCATAGTGTTACACTGTGGTGTTGGGCAACCTGCAGTCCAGCACCAGCTGGACCAGGTGTGAGTGACTCTGCTCCCAGGTGGTTTGGGAATAGAAATATCTCAGTAAATACCGTGAGGTATTTTAATACCATCAGAGATTCACTCATTCATAACCAGGAGGAGCTTGAGCATCTTACTTTCTCTAAAGGGAGGAAATATTTGTATATCAAGCCTGTCACTTAGAATCTCACGTTAGAGTGAAAGAACTGACACAAGAGTGTAGCAAGGAATTTTAGTTCAATGCTTTCTGCCCACTAGAAATGTATTTTCAATGCTATAAATGAGGTGTCACAGGTCTTGGATGGACAGGCTTGTCTTTCCTTTCCTCTTGAAGGTGATCAGAAAGTTAAATATGACAACATCAAGTTAATCTCAACAGCCCTCTCGTGCCCAAGAGAAATACAATATCTAGAGCTTTACAGCCTTCTCATAAAACCATTAACTAATTTAATATTGATTCTTTATCTTCTCTCTCAGACAAAAGCCTCTTTCTGGCTCTGCAATTTTTTCATCTTAGCACAGATATGCAGCAGAGAATTCTCTACAAAGCAGTTTAACTTTCCCAGTGCAGTAGCTTGTCTCACTGACCATATCAGCGTAATGTTCCATCGTGTTTCCAAAACTTGAGGACATTCTGAATCATCTTTCCAACAATCAAATGAAACTGTTCCCAAGTGCTCTTGGCTACTGCAACTTCACCATACCAAAGTGCTATGGAAACTTTTGGTCCCGTTTTTCCCTTCTGACTGTCCAAATTCAAACCCAAATCTTTCACCAACACCCCAGCAGATAAAGTATGCTTATGCCAGTGTATGTCTGCTGACATGCATGCCAGGCATGAAGAGGAACTACTCTTTTTTCCCTTCATGGTATTCTTTCCATGAGCCAGACATGGAAACAACTCACAGTTATTCCTTATGAATAGGATTATTTGGGGGGCGGGGAGGGGAAGCATAGCTATTAAATTGCTTAAGACATCAATTTTTAATTCACTAAATCTGTCTTTAACAGCTGTACTTGTCTATTCTTAGAGACCATACTGGTGCACGTAGGCATCTGTAGACTACTTCTCTGTTAGTCTCAGTAGCCAGTTTTTAGTATTTGTTATAGGAATGTGTTTGAAATCAATTCTTTCTTTCTCTTTGAATTGCAGCAATAACTGTGAGAAAGATGCCCTGATTATCTCAGTGATCAATGGCTTCACATCCATCTATGCGGCAACTGTCATATACTCCATTATTGGATTCAGAGCCACAGAAAGATACGATGACTGTTTTGACAAGTAAGTTACTGAAAAAAACCCAAACCCCAGATTATACAGGTATGTGTTTGGCTGAGACACCTCTGTTAGCCTGATAATGGATTTAATATTTCTGAACAATTGCAGCTCCTGATCCACATGGTATCGGACCACTCATTACTTCAAAAAATTTAAATCATGTGGTATCAACCCCATAGGGAGTGATAATTATTTGAGCCACCTTATTTCCTAGATAAAGGTTGCATAAGCAACCATATTTTACATTATTCCTTGATATATCCAAAAAGCAACCAGGGAAGAAGAGGATATTCCATATTTTAATGTGTTGGATTTGTTTTTTAAACAGTTCTTTCAAATGTAGCTGCAGTTTATCTAACAATTTCTATTTACATAAAGCTAGATCCAGTTTGTGATTTCACTAAAACATGCTAGAATATCTAAAGTTTTAGAGGTAAATGTGAAAAATTAATAATTTCAACAATGTATATGAAACATGTTGTGAAGGAATGTATTTACTTAACTGGATAAGGCAAGTTTCAATAAAACTGGTTCTGTAAATAATGGAATTTTACACTACATTCTTCAAAAACAAGCAAACAAACAAAGGGTATTAGGTTGCTGCTGCTGCTGCTGCTCTTTCTACTATGGCTGATGTCAAATCCTCAAAGGTGTCCTGACATGGTGGCCATGCAGTCTGCCTTGGAGATCACTTGCAATGAGCCACGGAAAGCACGGCCTGTTTTCAGGAAGCTCCCCATGACCAGGCTGTTCTGACAGTCCTGCAGAGTCCTGGCCACAGCTGGGTCACAGTGGAGGCACCTCGGGTTCCCATAGAACACTGGGAAATCACCCGAAGTAATTAATTAAATTCTTCCCATTTTCATTCATTAGATGAAGCTCTACCAACCACTGGAAAATTGTCTAGAAACACTGAAAAAAGAAAATAATCACAATAATCGATGCCTGCTGAGTGGACATATGGCATGAATGTAATACATCCTGGTCCCTGTGCCAGCTCTGTATTTAGGTTGCCTCTGGAGGGCTCCAATGCTTAGGCCTCATCAGGGGTACCTAAATTTACCAGAGGAATTCAGACTCTATTCTCATCGGGGCTGCCAGACCCTACAGGTTCCAGTCAAGTGCCTCCACATCAGCTGTAAAAGTGCATGATACATAACTGCAGGCACCTTACACATGCCCAGAAGCTGCCCAGTCTGGGAACTGGTGCCCAGTCTGCCGTGCAAAGATGGGCACGTCATTTCGGCACAGGACCCTGGCGTGACTATCCATTTAGCTGTCAGCTGTGCCGTGACAGACGGTATCAGACTCACCTTGGAAGAAGAAACAAAGAATTGCACATGCACAAAGCTGCTGGACTTCCCAGTCTCAAAATCTGATCTTGACCAACAGAAACATTGCTGCCTTTGCGTCTTTATATTGTGCTCTGAATAACTTGCTCGATGGCAAAAACGAATCCTGAGGAAGCTTAAAGTAAATAATTTCAAGTTACTTGTATTTCACTTTTTCAGAAATATTCTCACCCTGATGAATGCATTTGATTTGCCAGAAGGTAATGTAACCCAAGATAACTTTAAACAAATGCAGCAGCTATGTAACATGACTGATCCGATGAAGTTTGCAAACCTGAATTTTGAAACCTGTGATCTGGAAACTTTCCTGAATGATGTAAGTTTAACACCCTGACTGATATTGATACCATAAACACAGTAGGAATGCACAGCAATTTTAAAATTGCCTAATGCATTTTCTTCTGAGGTTGTTGTTTTCTTATATATTTCCACTGATTGATTGAAATTGGCTTGGAATGCTCTTGAGATGAAGAATTACTTTTTTTTTTTTACCCCGTTTTGCTTTTGAAGAGATAAACTGTTTAATTCCTCTGACTAGTATTGGCAATCTGTCAGACTAGTAACTAAAACCACAAGCTTTCTAGGCTGACCTCACGCAGCTGGCAAAATAGCAGCAGGTATTTCTCTGGAACTAGCTGGTTGCAGCCGCACAGGGACAAGGTGATGAGGGAAGAGGCTCCCAGAGTGAGGAAGCAGCTGGAGCAAGCCCTGACCCCATCAGTACGAACGTGTCACTGCAAAAAAAGAATGGATGTTGACAACGGGGGGGGGGGAAGTTACAGGAAGAATTAAATACACCTTTTTATTTGGTTTAAAAGGCGGCGGATTGCAGGTGAAAATAGGCGTCCATAAAATTCCATGAAATAGAATATGTATTATAATTACAGTAAATATAAGGCTGCGTTAGGAAGTCTTTGTGGAAACAAAAAGCCCAAGTATTGCGGCATGGTGCAGCGCACACCAAGTCCAGCCAATGCCAGTGTAAATTTAAGTGCTGGTTGGTGTTAATAAGCCTAACTTTGGAGCTTCTGAATTCTTCCACAGGGAGTTGAAGGAACTGGCCTAGCCTTTATTGTCTTCACGGAAGCTATCACCAAAATGCCGGTCTCACCTCTGTGGTCCATCCTCTTCTTCATCATGCTCTTCTGCTTGGGTTTGTCATCTATGTTTGGAAATATGGAAGGCGTGCTCGTGCCGTTACAAGATCTTAAGATCATACCCCCCAGAGTGCCTAAGGAACTTGTTACTGGTAAGCGGTTTTATAGAGACAAGTGACTTCCCCCCTCCCCAGGGAATAGCTTGTATGCTGAAAAATCAACCCCCCACTCATCTCCTTTCTGATCTGGCATGGTCCTAAGGCTCCTAGATAACCTACTGAGGAGTTCTGCCTGTCCTCCAGCGGGGCAGCTCCTGTGAGGCTCCTTCTGAGCCTGCTGACCCTGAGGCTTACCCGTCAGCCTGCCCATGGTGATTATCATCACCTCCATTGGGAAGCTGGGGGACCCGAGTCCTTCATCCCAGCAGGATTTCTCTCAGTGCAACATTCCCCATGAAACGCCACAGGCTTGGGGATGAGTGGCT